ATCTTGGCCTTCACATTGTCGATGGTGTCCGAGGACTCCACCTCCAGCGTGATGGTCTTGCCAGTGAGGGTCTTGACAAAGATCTGCATGCCTCCACGGAGGCGGAGCACCAGGTGGAGGGTGGACTCCTTCTGGATGTTGTAGTCAGCCAGGGTGCGGCCATCCTCGAGCTGCTTGCCGGCAAAGATGAGGCGCTGCTGGTCCGGGGGGATTCCCTCCTTGTCCTGGATCTTGGCCTTCACATTGTCGATCGTGTCAGACGACTCGACCTCAAGGGTGATGGTCTTGCCGGTGAGGGTCTTCACGAAGATCTGCATCTGTAAATACAAAGTAAAATAAACCCAGAGTAAGGAGCAGTTAAAAGGAAACATGAGGACATTAACAAAAAAGTACAGAGAGAGATGAAATCCTAGCTACAAATCAACAAACATCTCAATATAAAGTTGAACAAACAGACTACACTAGCAAAAATCCGATATATCAATACAATCTTTCTTAGCCTGGTGAGAAGGACGATTAATCTAAATTCTAGCAGATCTATGCTCAAGTTGGGCACAACAATCTAGAAAAGTGTAGAAGAATCAACAATAACAATATCACGAATTTCAGAGTAGAACCGACAGGCAACTACGAGGCTGAACAATGAATAAGCTGGTAAACAAATCCAGAACCAACAACCTACAAGAACCCAGCATAAACTTGGCAACAATCGTACGGAACCAACCGGCTACACAAGCCTAGATGGACCGAACCAACGACGGTCGGCAGATCTACTGGATAATCCATACATAATCGCGGTGGGGATTTAATAACAGACGAGCAGAATCACCTTAGTTCTACAAGAACACGACACGCAAACTTGGCAACAAACGAGCGGAATCAACCGCAGCTACACACATCTAGACGGACCGAATCAACAACAACCGGCGGATCTACTCGATGATTCGACGCATGATCGAATCAACAGAAATCGATCAACAGATAATAGGTCTCCAGCCCGCAGATCTACCCAATACTAGAACATAGAGCGAGCGGAATCGAAAGGCGGAGGGATCGGAAACTCGCGTACCTTGAAGGAGCGTGAGGGGCGCTTGTCTTCCGATCGGTCGAGGATTTTCTCGGTGAGATCGCGGAGAGGGGATTGGATTTGTTTGGTGGACGGGAGAGGAGAGGGGGGCGGGGATTTTGTAGTCGGGGAGGGGACGCCGGGTCAGACGGGAAGGGAGAAAGAGTCCCGCAAGGCTGCGGCACCGGTGACGTGTGGCGTGGGAACAACCAGCCGATAAGATTTTTTTTCCCTCTGCTATATATTTTCTCGCTTTGTTTTTATTTTTCAAAAACTAGTCAATGGGTACGTGCATTGCATGTTAATTTGAAAATATATTAAGTGCATGCGGATATTAAATAGGATATTTTTTGCGTGTTACTATGTAATTAGCACTATTTTTGGCATGAAATTAACTGCACGCTAAACGTGTTGAACACTCGACATTGAAGCAGTTTAGGTCGTTGGATTCACATGATTTGATGGCCGAGATTAATTAGATCTGCCCGTTTGGGTCTTTTTATATTGGTATAGATATAGATGCTAAACGTACAGGCACCTACCGGCCCTTACGGGGACCTTTCCAACAAACTAAACACTACCCCCTGATTCTTAGGGGGTGGGGCCTGCTTTGGCAACTAAAATTCAATCACAAACTTCTACGTCACATTGTTTTCAAGTCAACCTGTAAAAGCCTGTATATAATCCTGCACGTGTAACATTATTGTTTTTTACCTATCAAGCAAAACGATAGCTTGTTTCACGGTATACATCATCTACAGCCGCGGACAGCATTCCAACCCCTCAAACACCCGGACGCGTTCGTCAGCACGGACCGGTCATGCCTTAAATTTTTTTTCTTTCCACACCCGCATATCTCATATCTCGCACCCTATATACATACTACACATGTAACGTAAGAGTTACTCTACGTGATCAGACAACGCACAACGAAATCGGCATCAAACAGACAACTAAATGCACATAAATGAACTATACATCATCTAAAAACATCGGAGTTCATCGTCAGACAAGTTCTTAACTTCAACAACTAGAAAACGACAATAAACATAGGAGCAGGAGCGTCTTCATCACTTCCTCGTCGGGCCTTTCCCCTTCCGGTCGCCGGCATAGTTGTAGGTGTCCGCGGCTGTGGAGGATCTTGGTCGTTGGAGGAGGAGGTGGAGTTGTAATCGTCGCCGTCGTCGGAATCGAAGAGGATGCTCAACCCCTTCATCTGGAGGACGACCTGGTCCCGCTGCCGCTTCAACTTGGCGAGCCGAGCCGCCTCCTTCGCCTCACGCTCCGACTCCTCTGTGGCAAGCCAAAGCAATTTTGTGTCCTTCCGCCATAGGTGACGAGTGTTCGTCTCCGCCATTGTGAGCGACCGGCGGTAGACCCAAGCAAGGAGCCGCTCATCCTCATTAGGCTTCGGTGACATCCCACGGCGGTGGCGCATGGTACATTCATTTTGCATCATGCTTTTATATTGATATTTATTGCATTATGGGTTGTTATTATACATTATAGCATAATATTTATACCTTTTCTCTCTTATTTCACAAGGTTTATATGAAGAGGGAGAATGCCGGCAGCTGGAATTCTGGACTGGAAAATGAACAAATCCGAGAGACCTATTCTGCACAACTCCAAAAGTCCTAAAAATTTACGGAGAATTATTTTGTAATATATAAAAAACATTGGGTGAAGAAAGTACCAGAGGGACCCCACCAGGAAGCCACAAGGGTGGGGGCGCGCCCTACCCCCTAGGTGCGTCCCTTGCCTTGTGGGCCCCCTAGCAGGCCTCCGGTCCTCATCTTCTGCTATATGATGTGTTTTGATCTGGAAAAAATCAAGAGGAAGCTTTCGGGACAAAGCGCCGCTGTCTCGAGGCGAAACCTGGGCAGAACCAATCTAGGGCTCCAGCGGAGCTGTTCTGCCGGGAAAACTTCCCTCCGGGAGGGGAAAATCGAAGTCATCGTCATCACCAACGATCCTCTCATCGAGAGGGGGTCAATCTCCATCAACATCTTCACCAGCACCATCTCCTCTCAAACCCTAGTTCATCTCTCATATCTGATCTTTGTCTCAGAACCTCAGATTGGTACTTGTGGGTTGCTTGTCATTTTCTTCTGCTCCTCGTTGGGTTCGACACTCTTACTTATCGAAAGGACTACAATAGATCCCCTATAATTGTGGGTCATCAAGACTCTTTTCTGGCGCCATTGCCGGGGAGTGAAGCACCTTTGATGAGTGGAATTTGGTAAGGAAACATTTTATATTACGTGCTGAAATTTACTGTCACTTGTCGCTATGGAAAATAATCCTTTGAGGGGTTTGTTCGGGGTATCTTCACCCCGACCGGAAGAACAAAGAGTTGCTCCTCAACCTACTGTGCCTACCGAAAATATTTATTATAAAATTCCTCCGGGTATGATAGAGAAACTGCTGGCTAATCCCTATGCAGGAGATGGAACATTACATCCTGATATGCATCTAATCTATTTAGGTGGAGTTTGTGGATTATTTAAGCTTGCAGGTTTGCCCGAGGATGCTGTCAAGAAGAAGGTCTTCCCTTTATCTTTGAAGGGAAAGGCATTGACTTGGTATATGCTATGTGATCATATTGGATCTTGGAACTTCAACCGATTGAAATTGGAATTTCATCGGAAGTTTTATACTATGCATCTGGTTCATTGTGATCGGAATTATATATACATATAATTTTTGGACTCGTGAAGGAGAAAGTATCGCTTAAGCTTGGGGGAGGATTAAGTCAATGTTATATTCATGCCCCAACCATGAGCTCTCAAGAGAAATTATTATTCGGAATTTTTATGCTCGACTTTCTCGTAATGATCGATCCATGCTCAATACCTCTTGCACTGGTTCTTTTATGAAGAAGACTATTGAATTCAAACGGGAGTTATTGGAAAGAATTAAACGCAACTCTGAAGATTGGGAACTCGGCGAAGGTAATGAGTCAGGTATATATAAACCTTAAGTTTGATAGAACTTTAAATAATCATGACGATATCCAGGCAATGATCATTATATAGGCATCACGTCCAAGATTAGTAGACCGACTCTTGCCTGCATCTACTACTATTACTCCACACATCGACCGCTATCCAGCATGCATCTAGTGTATTAAGTTCATGGAGAAACGGAGTAATGCAATAAAAAGATGGCATGATGTAGACAAGATCTATTCATGTAGGAATAGACCCCATATTGTTATCCTTAATAGCAACAATACATACGTGTCATTTCCCTTTCTGTCACTGGGATTTAGCACCATAAGATCGAACCCATCACAAAGCACATATTCCCATGGCAAGAAAAATTGATCTAGTCGGCCTAACTAAATCAAAGATTCAAAGAAGAAATACGAGGCTATAAGTAATCATGAATATAAGAGATCAAAAGACTCCAATAACTTTCATGGATAAAAACATAGATCTAATCATAAACTTAAAGTTCATCGGATCCCAACAAACACACCGCAAAAAGAGTTACATCATATGGATCTCCAAGAGACCATTGTATTAAGAATCAAGAGAGAGAGAGGAAGCCAGCTAGCTACTAACTACGGCCCCGTAGGTCTACACTAAACTACTCACGCATCATCGGAGAGGTACCAATGAGGATGATGAATGATGGTGTCCTGGACTAGGGGGTACTCACCACGTCGTCTCCTGACCAGCTGGATTGGGCCGAGGACCCCCCATGGCGGTTCACTCATGGGCCACTTCGGGCAGCCCATGCCAGATACAAGGAAGATCCCACGAGACTTGGCGCACAAGACGAGGACTCTCCTAAACCCTAGGCCTCTGGTATGTTATATAAATCGAGGCCAGGCTAGTCAATAGACAATCTCATATTCATTACTACAATCTCGTGGTAGATACATGTACTCTGTACTACACCCCATATGAATACAATCAAAAGCAGGACGTAGGGTTTTACCTCCATCAAGAGGGTCCGAACCTGGGTAAAATCCTGTGTCCATGTTACCATCGCTCCAAGACGCCTAGCTTAGGACCCCTACTACGAGATATGCCGGATATTGAACCGACATTGGTGCTTTCATTGAGAGCCTACTGGCTGATCGTCACGAATTGATGGGATGATTAGGTGATATTTTTTCTGTTAGATCTATTCAATATAAACTGTCATTTTTAGATTACGGCTGCTGCCTAGAACTATACTATTCACAGTCAAATCGAGACCAAAATAAGTGTCTGGCGACTGGCCGTACACCAGGTCTGG